AGAGGGTTTTTAGAATATGCTAAGGATTAGGGATATGAAAAATGCAAGGCTTTTTATTATAGGATGTTAAACCTTGAATTGAATTTTAAACAAAGTCTTGTAGTATTTAAGGATGATAAAAGTTGTTTGCCTATATATGATATGTTGTGTAAAGGGTTGTTGATTGACATATATTATGAAAGAAGTAATTCGAGTCCACCCATTCATTGGTTATTATAACTCAAAAGTTGTATGTAAAAGACTAGGAATAAATGAACATAGGCAATGGGTTGGTAAAGGTAGTTCTAAACATAAAGTAAATGATAAAAATATGGATAGTGTTATGGGTAGTACTTGTTCATGTATGCTACCATGGTGTTGCTAATATTAGTAGGGTAGTAGTGTCAATGTAGGTCAATCTGGATAGGTTAAGTGTGAGGGAATAAGTAAGGGTAATGAGACTCGTAAATAAGGAGAGAGTGGTGGATAGTGAGACCATAAATAAAAAAAGTATGATGGTTAGTGAGACTCGTAAATAAAGAGAGTGTGATAGGTAGTAGGAATATCAATAACGAGGATGAGCTAGTGCATGATTTAGAAGCTAATGATAAAGTATATAATGATGTGGAAGATACAAAATATTGAGTGGATGCATAATGGGTGTCGGATGATGAGGAAGCTAGAGAAATTAGAGAAGGTTTGAAAAAGATAAAAGCGAGTATCAACTAGTAAAAGTAAGGTTAGGGAAATTTAGTGAAAAATTTAGAGGAAAACTTAGATGGAAATGTGGGAGGAAACTTAAGGAGAAATGTGAAAGAAAACTTATAGGGAAATATGAAAAAAAAAATTTAGAGGAAAATATGAAGGGAAATGAGAAGAGAAAATTAACGGAAGAGTTAGAACTACTAGAACAAGAATTGAATAAGGAGTACTGTAATTCAAATGAAGAGGAGGATCTGCAGACTACGAGTAGCAATGATTAAGATTTAGGCATAAGAAAGAGAAACGGACTAGTCGAGTTTGGCCCGACTTCAAATCCTCCTCATTTTTAACTTTATATGATTTTTAAGAACAAGAAAGAAGTTAAAGCTATTATGATTAATTATGTCATCAATAGTAGAATAGATTTGAAGCTGATTAGGAATGATAAATATAAGAATAAAGGAATTTACAAAAATGACCCTTGTTCTTGAAGTCGTTAGTTCTATTGAAAGGAGGACCAAAAAATTAATAGTGAAGACTTATGATACATAACACATATGTGATTAGTTCTTTACAAATTCTAGGGTTACTTATAGATTTATTAGTGAGTATTTTATGAAGAAGTTTAGAAAAGCTGCATTGAATAAGAAGCTACATGAGATTGTAGAAAATAGTATGTCCGATATGAAAGTGTAGATTACATTATCACATGCCAAAAATGCAAAGGATTTGATGCATCCGATTAATTCTTGATATATGAAGGATGAGTTTAGGAGGCTTGAAGTTTATAAAACCGAGTTAAAAAGATGTAATGATAATAATACGGTCATTCTTGAAACGAAGAGAACGAGGAAGGTTTAAATAGGTTTAAAAGAATGTAGGTATATTTTCATGTTGTGAAAGAAGGCTTTAAGGTAAGGTGCAAGCCAATTACTTGGGTTAGATTGTGCATTCTTGAAGGATTCATTAAAAGGAGTAGTGTTGTTAAATGTTGACAAAGATGTAAACAATTAAATGTATTCTTTATATTGGGTTGTTGTGAAGTGGAAAAAAAGATAATTAGATTTAGTTCATCCAACTTTCAATGGAAGATGTTGGGATTCTATATGAAAATGAATATGAATGGACTTTCATAACGGATAGGCAAACGGTTAGTAAGTATGCATTGTTCATTAGCATTCCTTTAATTTTAGTTAGTCTTCCTAATCTAATTAGCTGTTTGTATATATAGGAATTATACGCTATTTTAGAGGAATTAGTACCTAGAGCGTAACATAGGTGCTATGCTAGACATATTTGTGCTAAATAAAGGAAGACACATAATGATGAAGATGTTGAGAAGTAGTTTTTGGTATATGTCAAATCAAGTACCATATCGATTTAGAAGAAAATCTTGAGCAATTGGGGAAGTATAGCAAGACAACACTTGAAGATGTCATGAAAGAGTATTCACAAAAATGGTATAAGGCTTACTTTTAAACACATATTAAATCCGATGTAGTTGATAATAACTTGTGTAAAATATGAAATAGATTTATTTTACAAGCAAGAAATAAAAGTATTGTGTCTTTATTAGAGGAGATTAAAATTCTTCTTGTGGAAAGAATTATTGTTAAGAGATTTTTTATATTTAGGTATAAGGGGAATTTTAGGTCTAAGATTTGGGAAAAGATAAAAGAATTTAGAGATCTAAGTTCAAAGTTTAGGGTATTGTATAATAGTGATGAGAGGTATGGGGTCGTAAACATATACAATTTCAATGATAAATATATTGTGCAAATGAAGAGGAAAACATGCGAGTTTGTCCGAGATGAATGGTATACCGCTTAAAGACGAGTCCGATCATGTAGTGCTAACAATTCAAAAGTTCGAAATAGTATGCATAGGTCGGTTAGCCAACATTTGATTTTAAAGTAAGTTGCTACATACCATTGACCGAGCAAAGGATTTTTGATCCCTAACCTTTCCCATTGATAAACAATTACCGACCAAATGCTACTGAGAATTATAGGAGGAACCAACATTCAGAATTTTGCTAAAATACTTCTAGATACTAAAGGCCGACTCTTTGAAGACAAATAAATGGTCCAACATTTCAATACCGGATCGTGTACAACATTGAAATTTGGAAACTAAAGAAACACCACGGTGAGTAGGAGGCTCCATGAAAGAATTTTCAATAAAAAGCTATAATTTTTATTAAAAGCCACTAGTTCCATAGAATCCTCCACCAAGCAAAGCTTCGAGCCCTCGCATGAATTTGATGATGATACAACTTGGTAGAGAACAACCCATTAGATCGACATGTATATAAAAACATGTCCTTGGCATTAGGGTTTAACACAACTTGATGTAATGCCTCTTGAACTTGTATTGGAAGGGAATTAAAAATCTCCTAGTTGGGCTTTACATATTTAATAGAAACATACCTATTTATAGTTAGATTGGTTAGAGGAAAAACGGTCCGGTAATCCTTTATGATGTCAATCTCGCCCTCTTACGCTATCCGAATAGAAGATTGCAACACATTATCAATATAAGGAATTAATGACTTTCAAACATGCCAACCTTTCTTGTTTCTTGTCGTCTCAAAGTTGTATGGATATCCATATTTAGACCACATAAAACTTGCCCAAAGAGAATTTCCTTGTAAAAATGACCATGTTAGCTTCCCTTTCATTAAGCTAATAACATCAAATAAATCCCTAATGCCTAGTCCCCCTTCCAGAACTAGTTTCGAGATTGTTTGTCACCCAACCCAATGATGATGACTTTCCGAGTCATAACTCCAAAAGAAATTCGAGAAGAGTTTATGTAAGCGATCTAAGATTGTTCTAAGAGTCGGTAGCATCGCCATCGTGTATACGGGAATAGAACATAGGACACTTTGAATTAATGTAAGTTTACCTCCTATGGATAATAATCTTGATCTGCTAGCTAGCCGGTTTATCTTTAACCTTGTCCACCAAATACATGAAGTGTGCTATTTTTTGCCTTTTTTTAAAGAGCGGGACCCTTAAATATTTGATGATATTTGGAGCCTAGGAGAAACCAAACCACCGAGAGATAAGTTGACTTCTCACCATTGTTAATTTTTTACTACATATAAATGATCTCTTAGCTAAATTAACCTACTAACCACTAGCCTCACAATAAACCCAAATAACATGCATCGGATTGTCAACCTACCGCTTAGAACCATTACAAAAGACAAGATGTCATCTGCAAATAAAGGATGATGACTATTATAAATTATAATTCACTTATCATTTATCCACCACTCGACGATACTTACAAAATGCACATGATATTACAAATTATAGTTCTAGAATACAATTACAAAGCGAGGGATTGTTATCCATTCCATATAATCAAACCCAAAATATTACAATCATATGATGATTATTGCACAAAATAGTTTAAGAGCATTACTAATTCTATATTTAAACAACATTAAATTAGCGAACTTAACTTCGGATCTTTAATCTCCGGTAGTAGAACCTCTTTCTCTTTCTATTTTTGCTCATTCTAAGCATGATTCTCAATTCTCATATTCTCTAATTCAATCAATAATTCTTCATTCTCATTTCTTAACATAGTAATTTTTTCATTCAATCTAACATTATTAAAACTCAATCTTGAGTTCTCGGCATGTATGGATTCTTTCTCATTCCATTATAATTCTTTATCATTAAGAGCATAAATTGCTGAATACTTGGAAGAGGAAAAGGATGTCGATGAAGAAGTCATTCTTTTCTAGAATCGTAATTTAAGAATTAGGGATTAGAAAGCGATAAGCCTCCGATCCACTTCCAATATGCTAGGAAGAAGAAGAGAGGCCCAAATGCGGCTAGGGAAGTTTGACGTGCTTAAAAGCCTAGAGAATGTTACTTGCCCCAAATTATGCTATTGTCAATTATTTCCATTCTATTATTGTGTTGTCCTTGAGTAGAGTCGTGTCGGTGGTTTTTCCATCTAGAAGGCTAATGTGGTAAGTTTGTTAGGATCCCACGACGGCTTTGCTTGGGTATAATAGGGGAATGAGTGAGGTGAGAGAGGCATGTTTTCTATTTTGGTCTAGTGGGAATATTAGAGAGTAGGCCCTCTCGAATGTGCCTTATTCTATCACTCGTAAACACTTTCTTTCATTGATAATACGGCAAGTTTCATTCATCTATTGCCTATCTCTGTCTCTCGCTACTTGAGTTGTAACATTTTGGTATCGGAGCGTGGTGTTTGAATCCTTGGGAATGCTAGCAAACATAATGGAGTCAAGAGTGGAAAACTTGGAAGAAAAACTTCCATCCCTTAAAAATCAAATGGTAAGCCTTGAATCCTCATTCACCCAAAAAATGGATGAGGTCTTGAGTGTTATCCATAGGAGCACCGCCTGCGGGGAAGAGCGTAGGCGAGTCCGATAGAGCAAAAGGGACTACGCCCGTGGGTATAGAGATGGAGGAGACGTCATTGACGAAGGGATGGCCACCCATGTACCCACCTATCACCCTAGGTAGGAAAAGAAGCTGGAGATGCCTACCTATGATAGGGAGGATGATCCAACACCATGGGTATTCAAGGTTGAGAGGTATTTTGGGGTGAACAAGTCGACCGACTCGGAGAAATTGAAGGCTGCGAGGGTACGCCTCGGAGGATCATCGCTGGTATGATTGCGGTGGGAGGAAAATCGACGTCCCTACTCGACTTGGGAAGAGTTAAAAAACCAACTCCTGCGATGATTTTTGCCTAAACGAAAAAGAACCCAATAACAACGCCTCTTATCACTGCGACAAACCTCAACAATAGTTCAATACATGAGGGATTTTGATACTTTATCCATCCCATTAAAACACTTGGATGATGATACTCTTGTGGCGGTGTTCATCAATGCCTTAGAAGAGAGAACCGGGGAGAACTCTTGAAGTTGAGTTGCGATAGTACGTTGGAAGTCATGGAATCGGCCTAAAGAATTGAGGATGGCAATTTAGTGATGAGGCTGGCCCAAGAACATGAGCCCAATAAGACCATGAAGAGAACCCAAGCCCCATGGAACCACACAAACACCTTTAGCCAACATAAGTTTTCCACCTAGAACTTACGAGTTCTTAGTGATGCTTTTTGGATTGACGAATGCATCGACCACATTCCAATTAGTTATGAACTCCATCTTTGAGCCGATGTTGACAAAGGGAGTATTGGTGTTTTTTGATGATATATTGGTCTACAGTGTCTTCCTAGGAGCAACACAAACAACATTTGAGAGGGGTACTATCGATTTTCAAGGCTAATAGGCTATTTGCCAATTTAAAAAAATATAGCTTCGGACGAGACAAGATTTAATAGCTTGGGCATATTATCATGGCGAAGGGGTAACAACCGACCTTGAGAAAATTAATGCCATAGCACGGTGGCCGGTTTCGAAAAACTTAACGAACTATGTGGGTTTTTGGGCCTCATCGGATATTATCGTCGATTTGTCAAGGATTATGGAAAGGTAGCCGCACCGCCGATCAAGTTATTGAAGAAAGATGCCTTTAAATGGAGTGATGAAACCATTGCTTGCGATCCATAGTTTGAAACAAGCAATGGTGGCCCTTCCTACCTTAGCTCTATCAAATTTTGAGGAGGGTTTTGTTGTCAAAACGGATGCTTCGGGGACTAGCTTTGGGGGCGGCATTGATGAAACAAAATCACCCCTTGCGTATTACGATCAAGCCCTCGAAGGGCGAGCTCAATTGAAATACTTATATGAGTGGGAACTCATGGCCATAGTGCTGGCATTGCAAAAATGGCGACACTACTTATTGGAGAGAAAGTTCTTAGTCCAAACCGATCAAAAAGCCTAAAGCCTCAAGCATCTCCTCGAACGACAACTAATGTCCACGGAGCACTAGAAATGGTTAACCAAGCTCTTAGGGTTCGATTTTGACATTGAATACAAACTTGAATTAAAAAATAAGGCGAGTAGACGCGCTATCTCGGTTGCTAACCCTCATGCATATGATGGTGGCCCAATGCCTTGATATGGAAAAGTTGATGTAGGAGGTGGACAAGGATCCAAAGTTGGTAGCCAACAAGTGCGCTTTGCGAGCGGGATCCCGATTGCAAACCGAGCTGAAATTTGATCCAAAGGCGGCTCCAATACAAGAATCGCTTGATAATTTCTCAAGCCTCCCCTTCTATATCGGTATTGCTTGTTGAGTTTCATAGAAGTTTAGTAGAGGCGGGCGGGTTATCTCAAGACTTATAAGAGAATAATGGTCGAAGTATAATGCGGAGAGTATGTGGAGAGTTGTGAGGTTTGTTAGCAAAATAAGAGTTCATCGTTATCTCCTGTCGGCCTATTGTAGCCCCTCACGATTCCGAACGGATTTGGAAAGATGTGTCTATGGATTTTATTGAGGGGTTACCCAAATCCTCGGGGTATAATGTGATGTTGGTAGTGGTGGACCATTTTAGCAAATATGGCCACTTCGTGGCCTTAAAACACCCATTTTTAGCTATTAGAATCATAGAGATTTTTGTGCAAAACATTGTCAAGCTTCATGGGTTTCCCCGCTCTATTGTTTTAGACCATGACAAAGTCTTTATGAGCTCCTTCCGGACTAAGTTGTTTCATCTCCAGCAGACAAGGTCGAAGCGTAGCACTTGCGTATCATCCCCAAACGGATGGACAAACCGAAGTCGTCAAGCGATGCCTTGAGAATTATTTACGTCGCTTTATGCAATCCCAACCAAAAACTTGGAGTCTTTGGTCGCCTTGGTGTGAGTATTGGTACAATACATCATTCCACACCTCCACCAAGCTCACTCCATTTTTAAGGTTGTATATGGATAGGATCCACCACCTCTGCTGTAATTCTCGAGCCGGAGCACCTACGATTCTGTCATGGAGGAGCAATTACGAGTTAGGGACTTAATGCTCAAAAAAATGAAAGAGCAGACTGCAATTAGCCCAAATACGCATGAAGAAACAAGTAGATCAACATCGACGTAATGTGAATTTCCGAGTAGGGGACTTGGTTTATTTAAAGCTTCAACCATATCGCCATAAATCATTGGCTCGGAAGCTGAATGAAAAATTGTCACCCCGATTATTTTGGTCCTTATCCAATTATATAACAAATTGGCCAAGTGGCTTACAAGTTAGCTCTACTTGAGTCATCCCTCATCCACCTCGTGTTCTATGTTTCTCAACTCAAAGCGGCCATTGGGGTGGACAAAACTAGCTAGGACCTTCCCCCTCCCTGCAAGATGACCTTGAATAGAGGGTGGAACCGGCTTTTGTTGCGAATATACGCACGAGAAATGGAACCAAGGTCGATCCGGAAGTGTTAATCAAGTGGAAGGGCTTGCCGGATTTTGAGGCCTCATGGGAACCATACCACACATTGATCAACAATTTCCCTCTTTCCACCTTAAGGACAAGGTGAAACTTATAGAGGCGGGTATTGATAAGCCTCCGATCCGCTTCCAATATGCCGGGAAGAAGAAGAGAGGCCCAAATGTAGCTAAGGGAGTTTGACGTGCTTAAAGGCCCGAGAGAATGCTATTGCCCCAAATTATGCTATTGTTAATTATTTCTATTCCGTTATTGTGTTGTCCTTGAGTAAGTCGCGTCAATGGTTTTTCCATCTAGAAGTCCGATGTGGCAAGTTTGTTAGGATTCTCCGACGACTTTACTGGGTATAATAGGAGAATGAGTGAGGTGAGAGAGGCATATTTTCTATTTTGGTCTAGTGAGAATATTGGAGAGTAGGCCCTCTTGAATGTACCTTATTCTATCACTGTAAACACTTTCCTTCATTGATAATACAACAAGTTTCATTCATCTATTGCCTATCTTCGTCTCTGCTACTTGAGTTGTAACAAAAACACAACGAAAGAGAAAGAAAGAGGAAAGGTTAAAGAGGAAATAAGGATTAAAGTTAATAATTGGGAAATTAGGGATTAGGTATGAGTGTTTGAAATTTGGGAATTAGGGATTGTCACTTTTGATTGCAAATCGAAGGAGGAAAGAAAAAAAATGAATAGGAGAGAGAAAGGGATTTTTAGTTTTAGTGGGTAAAGGTTGAATTGTATTTTCTTAATCTGTTTTTAGATTTATTATTTTTTTCGTTATTTAAAATTCATGAAAATTTTTTTTATTTTCATTAAAACTCAATTTAGCCCACCATGACATATGGTAAGTCGTCATTAGCGAGAACTTGCTAACATTTTACTATGTGTACTTATGTGGCATATTAGAATCTAAAACAACAACATAAGAGTTGAACTCTTAAATTGGATAGAAAAAAAACACTTAAAGTCTCAATAAATTTTTTTTGAATTGTATGGAGTCTCAATATGTGCAAAACTCAATTTATTTTAGTTCATATATTTTATTTTCATAACATTTTAGTACTTAATGAAGTTTTAAAGTCTTGTCATTTTTCAGAATTAGAAAATTTTTTCTTTTTTCACAATTAAGCCGCTGCATGTAATAATTCATTTTAATAAATATATGTAAAATTGATCAAACTTTAGTCAACCAAATTAAAAAATAAATTAATGATAAATAGATAACAGATAATAATAAAAAAATTGAGTATTATTTTGTACATGGGCGAGCCGGATAAGAATTTGCTTTTGTGATAACATTGGACATGACAAGAATTAATCATTGTCGTGTTCAAAATAATCATCAAACATTGTATAGCTTGTTTTATCCTATCCAGTCTAGTTTTGTTCAATATACCCAACACATCCTCATATTATGTAGCCCACATTAAGCTTGGCATTTAGGAAATTGCTTAGCTTATATGAAAAAAAAAAAAAAGAAGAAAAAAAAAAAAAAAGAGAAGACTCCTCGAAGATTATGACTATAGGATGAAGACCATTAATTTCATAAAAAAATGCAATAAGAAAATGACCGATTGAAAATTATCTTTTGTCCCATTTATGGTGTATGCGTCGAACAAATTAAATGGATCTTTTGTATGTTTGTGTATGTATCTATCCATAGAATAAATGGAAAAGTATAGTTTAATGGGCTTTGACACCCTGATTTCACTTCTTGTTCTTTTTCTTTTTTCTTTTACCCCTTTTTTTGGCGAAACTTTAACGTTTTTTTAGGTAACATTAATTAGATTTCAGATAACAATAACTCGTAGCAGCTTCCTTTCAAGATAATTTTACTGAAGACCACAAATTGAAATAATGAATGCATATGGATATGGTTTATCCTGCAACACAAGAACTAATATGAATGCATATAGTTGTGAAATTTTTTCTTCTCATACACTGTTCAATATGATAGGAAATACGTTTATAAGATATATATATATATATATATATATATATATATATATATATATATATATATATATATAAATACAATTAGGAAAAGATTTTAATTAAGAAAATAACTAAAATCAAAATAAAAATTTAAGTTTTACTTTTAATTTGTTAATTTAGCAAGAAATATATATATATTTGAACAGTGTAAAAGATGGATCATTATACAAAACTATATATTTGGTGCCCAATTTTTGTTATTTTTCTATGTTTTTATTTAAGTATTTAACCTTTAATTTTACCTTTTTGAATTATTGATTTTTTTCTTATTTAAATATATGCTCTTAATTCAATATGTGAGATACAAAGTGAGCCCCGATGAAGAAATTATGAAAGATTAGGAAACTAAAAATCAAAAAAAAAAAAAAGAAAAAAAGAAAAAGAAAAAAAAATGACCACGAAAAGAAAGCAAAACTTGAATTCGATGTCTAAGTCTCAGGTATTACGTTAGAAAAATAAAATTAAATCAACAACGTTCTCAAAAACATATCCAACACCATAATCTATTGATGTCAATTACCAACATGAAACAATTAATGCCAAGATGGAATGAAATGGTTTTACTACCTCCATGGTTCATGGTGTTTGACAGTAGTAGCTTGGTTGTGATGTTAGGAATGGGTTTGATAATAGTATTGATTTAATTTTATTTTAAAAATGTAGGTTAATTTCTAGTCCTAGATATTTTTTTATTTCTTCTCTTTTTATATCCTAATTTTTACTTCTTCTTTTTTATTCTTTATTCCTTTTTCTATCTTCTTGATTTTTCATAATTTTTTCGTCAGCATTTTTTTTTTATCATGTGTCACGAGATAACACATGCCAGCATGTAATATATTGGATTAACAGCATACAATTGAATTGAAAAAAAAAAAATCAATATCTCAAATAGATAAAATTAAAAGTGAAACTTTCAAATAATAAAATATTAAGATAACTTACACATCAACTTTTAACGAATTGAATCAACGAGCATTGAAATAGTAATATATTGTATTTTTTTTTAATTGCCAACCGAGTTCATCATTATTGTGCCCCAACTACTCTGTCTACAGCCAATTTATCCTATAAAACTCTTTAGTTTATGAGGAAAAAGAAAAAAGATTAAAATAAACGAAGAGAATTAAAAACTAGTAACATATTATATTTTATATTAAAATGTTCTCTAGCAAAGAGAGAGTTGGATTGAGTGGAATGGACTTGAGTCATTTAAACAAGTGATTTCTTATTCGATTCTTTATGTGTGTAAAATTTTTTTTAAATAACTATTTTCGTCTTGTGTGTTCAATAGAATGGTGAGATATTAGTCCGGATCTTTCGATTTGAAATATTCTAAAAGATTCAAAAAAAAAAAAATCTACAGACAGTATCAATGCCATTAGTATAAAGTCAAATTCTTAGCTTCCTATCCGCCAAAAATAAGAGAAAGAAAAATAAACCCCATAGCTTTCAACAATTAAATATTTGCAGAGTAAACTAATGGGACAAGTGAAACTTACAAGCTAATGTTTTAGTGTGGAATTATTAGCTCTTTGCTTTCTTATAGGTTTTATTTGTTATTGTTTTTTTTTTTAATAGATGTCAAATTGAACAAAAAGGATGTCATTGCATATCAGAATGACATTTGGTGCTAAGCCTTCCTTATAAACTTAAAGAGATTCAACTAACACATGCATATCCATAAACCCATCTAATATACTCCAAACATTATTCTGTTTTTTCACATAATCCATATAAATAGCTTATCCAAAAATTGGCATCAACAAACTATTGCCTTTCCTATAAAGGAAAACAAAAATATTCACATACCTTTTCTCCACAAACACTGATTTTCTTGAATATAATATTTAGAGTCAAATTCTAGT